TCATCATTGGTGTATAAGAAGGCCATTGATTTCTTGACGTTAATTTTGTATTGTGATACTTTGCCAAATTCATTTATTAAGTCCAGTAAATTTTTGATGGAGTCTTTGGGATTTTCTAAATATAGTATTATGTCATCTGCAAATAATGACAGTTTCACTTCCTCTGTTCCCGTGTGGATTTTTTTTTTTTTCTGTCTGATTGCTGTGGCTAAGATTTCCAGTACTATGTTAAATAAAAGTGGTGAAAGTGGGCATCCTTCTCTTGTTCCTGTTCTTAAGGGAAATGCTTTTAATTTTTGCTCATTGAGTATGATTTAGGCTGTAGATCTTTCACATATGGCCTTTATTATGTCGAGATATGATCCCTCTATTCCCAGATTGCTGAGCGTTTTCATCAGAAATGGGTGCTAGATTTTGTCGAATGCTTTTTCAGTGTCTATTAATATGCTCATATCATTTTTATCTTTCATTTTTTATGTGGTGTATCACATTTATTGATTTGTGAATATTCTACCAGCCTTGCATCCTTGGGATGGATCCCACTTGGTCATGGTGAATAATTTTTTGGATGTATTGCTGGATTAAATTTGGTAGTATTTTGTTCAGGGTTTTGGCATCTGTGTTCATCAGGGATATTGGTCTGCAGTTTTCTTTCTTTGTAATGTCTTCTACTGGTTTTGGAATTAAAATTATGCTGGGCTCTTAAAACGAGTTTGGAAGTCTTCCCTCACAAATTTTTTGAAATAGTTTGAGGAGAATGGGCATTAGTTCTTCTTTGAATGTTCAGTAAAAATCCCCCATGAAGCCGTCCAGGCCTGGGCTTTGGTTTGCTGGAAGAGTCTTGATTACATCTTCAATTTCTTTTGTTGTTATTGTTCTGTTCAAGTTTTCTATCTCTTCCCCATTCAGTTTTGGGAGACTATGTGTTTCTAGAAGTTTGTCCATTTCGCTTAGATTGTTGAGTTTGTTGCCATATAATTAATTGTTCATAATATTTGTTAACAATCCTTTATATTTCTGTGGTGTCAGTTATTATTTCTCCTCTTTCATTTCTGATTTTGTGTATTTGGGTTCTCTCTCTTTGTTTCTTTGTGAGTCTAGCTAAGGGACCATCAATCTTGTTTATCTTTTTCAAAGAACCAGCTCTTTGTTTCACTGATCCTTTGAATTGTTTTTTTGGTCTCCATGTCATTTATTTCTTCTCTGACTTTACTATTTCCTTCCTTCTATTTGCTCTGGGATTTTCTTTTTGTTTGCTTTCTAGTTCTTTAAGTTGTAAGGTTAGATAGTCTATTAGAAATATTTTTTTGCTTCTTGAGGTAGGCCTGTAGTGCTATGAACTTTCCTCTCAGAACTGCTTTCACTGCATCATATAGATTTTGTGTTGTGTGTTCATTTTCATTATTTTCCAGGAAGTTTTTAATTTCTTCCTTGATCTCCATGGTAACCCATTCATTGTTCAATAACATGCTATTTAGCCTTCATGTTTTCAAATGTCTTTGCATGTTCTTGTTGCAATTGATTTCTAGTTGTATGCCATTGTGGTCTGAGAAGATGCTTGATATTATTTCAACCTTCTTGAACTTGTAGAGACTTAGTTTATTTCCTGACATGTGGTCTGTCTTTGAGAATGTCCTATGTGCACTTGAGAAGAATGTGAATTCTGCTGTTTTGGGATATAATTCTCTGTAGATATCTATTAAACCCATTTGATCTAGCGCTTCATTTAGAGTTTGTGTTTCCTTTTTAATTTTTTATCTAGAAGATCTTTCCAGTGATGTCAGCTGTGTACTGAAGTCCCCTGCTATGATTGTATTGCTTTGATTTCTCCTTTGAAGTCCTCCAGAAGATTTAAAATATATGTTGGTGCTCCTATATTGGGTGCATATATGTTTATCAAGGTTTTATCTTCCTGTTGGACAGATCCTTTCAATATTATGTAGTGTCCTTTCCTGTCTCTAGTTATGGCCTTCATTTTGAAATCAAATTTATCAGATATGAGTATTGCTACCCCAGCTTTTTATTGCTTTCCATTTGCTTGAAATATTTTTTTCATCCCTTTTCTTTCAACCTCTGTGAGTCTTTTGTTGTGAGGTGGGTCTCTTGCAAACAACATATATGTGAGTCATGCATTGTTACCCAATTAGCTACTCAGTGTCTTTTGATTAGAGCATTCAATCCATTCACATTTAAGATGATTATTGATATGTACTTATTTATTTCCATTTTTGTTTACTGTGGTTCTATTTTTCTTCCCATTTCTTCTACTAATTACAGCAGTTCTTTTAGCATATCTTGCAGTGCTTTGTTGTTAATATATTCCCTTAGCTTTTGTCTGTGAAGCTCTTTATTTTACCTTCTATTTTAATGATAGCCTTGCTGGATAGTGTAGTCTTGTATTCAGATCCTTATTTTTCATGACCTTGATTACTTCATGCCACTCCCTTCGGGCCTGTAGTGTTTCTGTTGAGAAGTCAGCTGATAGCCTTTTGGGGGTTCCTTTGTAGGTAATCTGTTGCTTATCTCTTGCTGCTTTTAGGATTCTCTCTTTGTCTTTAATTTTTGGCATTTTAATTATGATGTGTCTTGGTGTGGGCCTGTTTGGGTTCTTCTTACTTGGGGCTGTCTGTGCTTCTTGAGCCTGAATGCCTTCTTCTTTCACCATGTTAGGAAGGTTTTCTGTCACTATTTCTTCAAATATATTCTCTAACCCTTGCCCATTTTCTTCCTCTTCGGGAACTCCTATGATGCAAATGTTATTATGCTTCTAGTTGTCCCACCGTTCTCTTAAGCTGCCTTCCTGTTTTTTAATTGGTTTTTCCTTTGGGTTTTCTGATTGGTTGATTTTTTTCTACCGTCTTCTAATTCACTGATATGGTCCTCAGCTTCCTCTACTCTATTGGTTAGTCCTTCCAATGTGTTCTTAATTTCTGCTATGTGATTCTTCATTTCCACTTGGTTAGTTTTCAATATTTCTATATCTTTACTTATGGTGCTGATGTCCTTATTCATGCTGTTGAGCTTCCTCCAGATCATGACTCTGAAGTCTACCTCTGGTAATTTGCTTAACTGCATTTTATTTATTTCATCTTTAATAGATTTCTCTTGTTCTTTCATTTGGGATTTGTTTCTTTGTTTCACCATTTTGGCCATCTCAGTAGGTTTTGGAAACTGCCAAATTTTTCCTGTGGGTGTTGGTGTTCTGCTGTTTGTGGCTCCCTCTACTGGGTTTGGATGAGCCTGGGTGGGCCCACATTAAACACCACTGTCAAGTCTTACTTTCCTCAGTAGATTTCCAAGCCCAGGAAAGGTTTAGTTATCCTCTAGCTTTTTCCTGGTGACTAGTATTCTCAGTTACTCAGTGCCTTGGAATGTAGCCCTGGTGTTCAGTGTCCCTGGTAAGATGGTCCTGTTCTGCTGCTTTTATTTTGCTTTTTTCCAAGGATTTGTCTGTATTTTAGTTATAATTCCCATTTGGTCCTGGGAGATTGTCTGTGTAGCTTCTATTCACTCTGCCTCCATTTTCACATCCTCTATGGCTATCTTGTGCGCAGCTGGATAGCACAGGCCTTTCTGGTGCTCCCGCACCCTGCAGATGCTGCATGTAACTGGATCACACAGTCCCTATGAGGACTCGGCTCTATGCCTATGTTATGGGCTGCTGGGTCGCACAGGCCTCTCTGGTGCTTCAGCACCCCACAGGCCTCGCACCCCACAGGCCTCGTAGGTGATTAGATTGTCCAGTCCCTGCTGGGTCGCACAGTCTTCTCTGGTGCTTCATCACCCTGCAGGTCTTGCAGGTAACTAGATCGCACAGTCCCTGCTGTGTTGCACAGGCCTCTCTGGTGCTTCAGCACCCCACAGGTCCCACGGATAACTGGATTGCAGTCCCTGCTGGGTTGCACAGGCCTCTCTGGTGCCCCTGCACCCTGCAGTTCCTGCAGGCGGCCAGCTGGATCGCACCAGTCTCTCTTGAGCTCAAGCTTCCCATTGCTCTTGTGAGCTGCTGGACTGCACAGGCCTCTGTGGAGCCCCAGGTCCCCCAGCTGATGGCTGGGGAGTGCTGCTGCCCCATGGGGCTCAACTCCTGCTCAACTTTTGCTGTAGTTTTTGGGGATGGGTCTCAGCTGCTTGTCTGCTTCTGTTGCCTGGGGGTATATCTACTCCTCAGCCTCTATTGCTGGGGGTATATCTTGGCTCTGATCTGGCTGCCACTATGGGGGATGGTGCTGGGCTCCTGGCTGTCCGCGGCTTCCACGACGGGCACCTTAGGACCTCCACTACTGTGCATTGGTCTGCATTGACACAGAGTGTCCACTGGTCTTATGGTGTCAGGTGCGCTGGTGGGCTCAGGTTGCTGGGCTCTAGCTGCTCCCACTGCCTCCTCCCAGGGAAGACCCGGGATCTTCCAAAATGATGGAACCTCCCCGCAGTGCAGGGAGAAGCACCCTGAAGGGCCGCTTACCGTGGTAGCCTGTGGATCCCATCCACAGTACAGGAACCTTCTGCTCTGCAGCTCTACGTGCTCGGATTTGGTCGTCCACCTTCACATCCACTCACACTCTCTCACACACTCGCTCACTCTCTCACATACTCACCCTCCCTTCGGTCCTGCCCACTGCCATCTTCGCAATATTATAGTTTTACATACAGAGAAAAATTAGGATTTGCCACAATTAAAAGTCTCTCACTTAGGATTTGCCACATTACCATGAAATGGCATATATTACTTCTTTTTAGTTCAGTTTTCCTCTAATTTAAATTGGCTTCTTAGAAAGAAGGCATGTAACCTCATGTTGTCTCTATCAAGGCAGGGCTTTGAATATAAGCTCGTGAATTCATTAATTGATTATACAATTGATTGCACACTTGACTTTTCTTATATTCCTGACATACCAATGACTCAGAGATTTCTTTTTAATTTCATAGTAGTGGAAGTTAACAATTTTAGAGTATACTAATGGTTTGTGTTCTTTTTCTTTTCTTTCCTTTTCTTTCAGTCTGTTCCCAGTATTCTAGAGGAGTGTTTGCCATTTTTGGACTCTATGATAAGAGGTCGGTACACACCTTGACCTCATTCTGCAGCGCCTTACACATCTCCCTCATCACACCAAGTTTCCCTACTGAGGGGGAGAGCCAGTTTGTGTTGCAGCTAAGGCCTTCCTTACGAGGAGCACTGCTAAGTCTGCTGGATCACTATGAATGGAACTGTTTTGTCTTCCTGTATGACACAGACAGAGGTAAGACAAGAGTCCACATCTATATAAGTAAAACTCTAATTTCAACCTGAAATGGCCTTGTTAACTTGTGTGATTTAGCAAAATATTTTAATTCCTGATATGGCTAAAATCAATAAATGGTCAATGTATACTATCATTATTTTTATCTTGACTCTGGGGGACATTTTCAAATTAAGCTTTAAATTCACAAGGTTACTCATGAGGAAACCATGCTCGGTTACTTAGTTGAGATTAAGAGAAATAATTCTTTTAAAATTTCTGTAATGATATTTCAGGTGCAATAAAATGAATAAGTCTTTTACCTCAAATGCAAATGATTTAATGTTTTGAAACATCTTAAAATAGTATCATATGGAGCCATGGTTTTGAGTTTGAAATACAAGACTTTGAGTAATTGAAGGGTCATAACAATGACAATTGGTAGTAAGATTCTGATTGCTAGCAACCTTTCTCTTGGTTTTTAGCTATCAGGCTGTAAAGAGTAATAAATTATATCATATGATCCATGTGTTGGAGAAATGAAGAGGATAACTAGAATTAAATTATTGAGAATCCATACACTTTTACACAAAGTACTTTGATTTTTTAGTTAGAAACACAGCTTAAGGAGTTCCTATATTATTTTCAATTCTGTTTTTTTGTTTTGTTTTGTTTTGTTTTTTTAGTGGCTAGAATCGTAGCAACATGTTATATTTCAATATAAACATCAGGGACCCACCCATGGGACTTTGTCTTTGGTCCTTTTTTCATAAAGTGAAAAATTTATGAGAAGACAAGAAGTTAGAGTAAGAGTTGAAACAGGCGGGCAAAATTTTAAGAAGATCCTTGAATAGAATTCTATCTGTGAAGTGAGTAAGACAATAAACATAAAAACCATAAATAAGCAAGGTAATTCTGTTGAATATATAATTACCTTCTAAAGTCTAAAGCATAATTTTCTATACTCAGATATGAAAACTCAGTAAAGAAATTTATCATTCTCATTAAAATTCACATTTTTAATTAGGTGAGAACAGTATGTCAAATGAGATGTCTCATCAACAGTGCTCTTGGCTCATCACTTATACTATTGGCATTCTTGGTATATTTTCCTTTCAGAAACAAACTCAGAAAATTTATATTATCAATGTATTTCTTTGTGGGTACAGCATACTCTAATTCACACTTGGAAATATGGGACCTACCTATATTTTATGACATTATTTCCACGGCATCCTTGGGAATATATTACAGTTGAGAGATATCATCGCTATGTTTATTTCTAACTTTTGGAAATATATGTAAAAAGAGGACACTGACAATTGAAAATGCAAATTAAAACAGTGAGCTGCCACTAGATATCTAGTAAAATGGCCAAAGTCAAGATCTCTGGCAGCACAAATGATGGAAGAATGTAGAGTACCAGGAACTCTCATTTATTGTTGGTGGCAATGCAAAATAGTACAGCTAATTTTGCATTTTCTTACAAAACCAAAATATATTATTAACATATGATTCGGCCATCATGCTCCTTGGTATTTACTCAAAGAAGTTGAAAACTTATATCAACACAAAAACCTGCAGCAAGTGTTTATAGCAGCTTCACTCATAATCACCAAACTAGGAAGCAACCAAGACTTTCTTCTGTAAGTGAATGAATAATTAAACTGTGGTACATCCAGACAATGGATTATTGTTTAAAGCTAAAAAGTAATGAGCTATCAACCCATGAAAAGGCATGGAGGAAACTTAAACATATATTATTAAGTGAAATAAGCCAATTAGAAAAGGCTGCATACTTTATGATTCCAACTATATGATGTTCTAGGAAAGGCAAAATTATGGAGTCAGTAAGTGAATCAGTGGTTTCCAGAGGTTAAGAGGAAGGAAGAATGAATAGATGGAACACAAAGTATTTTAAGGGAAGTGAAACAGCTCTCTATGATACTATAATGGTAGATAAATATCATTATCCATTTGTCCAAAACCACAGAATGTTCAACACCAAGAGTGAACCCTGATGTAAACTAAGAACTTTGATAATGATATGTCAGGGTAGGTTCATCAGTTGTAAAATATGAGTATCAAATAAAAGAATTACACTTCAATAAAATACATTTAAAATTTTTTCAAAAATTGAATCATAATGTAAAGAAATATCTACTGGGATGTGGATGAGATGTTTCTTCCTGTGGTTCATTATGACACAGCTCAGCTTACCACTTTGGGCAGAAGATCCTTATTTTATCACATCTTGGGCTCATCTAAATATTATTGAAATCTGTATCTCACTTTTTTCCTCTGCCTCTGTGTAAACCAGTCTCTAGCAAGGAAATGGTGCAAGCATTTGTGCATAAGATTCTCCACCAAACAGGAATTAAAAGTGATGCATTGTTTTTGCAGCAGTTTAAAGTTTCCAGGATCCTCACCCCTGCATAGTGAGACCTCCACCTTGAGCTACCTCCCATTACCTCTCACTATGGTGTCTCTAGTACAAGCAGACATACGTACTTGGTCATGTAAAGAATCTCTTGGTAAAATGTATGCCTTCAAAGGCTTAAACCATCATGGTACAAGCACTGTTTCTTCTAACATTACATCTTATAACATTTAACTCATTACTGGCTTGCTTCACAAAGTATACTTTTTTGTCATCACCCTAGAATTTAACTGTTTTGTTTCCAATCAACTAATGCCAATCACTGTAGAATTTCATGGTTCTCTCCAGTAGTTGCTTGAGGATGAATAGTGAGTCATATGTATGACCTTCGATTATAGTAACCCAACCCAGCTTTAAAATAGACACCTTATTTCAAGCAGTAATTGAGTGAATGAAAAAGAACATGTCAGGAAAAGGGCCATTGCTTGATGCTCACTCTGCCATCATAACATCATGCTTCTCAATATTCTGGGGCTTAATCAGGTACTCGCAAAGGACAAGAATTATTTTTTTCCTTTTGAAATTGTTGTGCTCATTTTATAAGTTTAGGATTACAAGCCCAATTTATTCCCTCTTAGATACTATGCTGAATTATATATTACTAGCACCAATGGAGGTATGAACCTCAGTTATGAACATATGATTAACTTCTATCATAAACACAGTGGCAGAGAGTAATCCATATTTTCACATTATGAAGAAAAAAATATATACACCAACACTAAAGATCAGAATATTTTTTTAAGAAATGCACAAAACCAAGCATTGGTAACCACAAACTTTGACTAAACTTTTTTTCTGTTATGAGTAACTGCTGTAATTATGACTCTGAATTTCTTCACAAACTTTAGTGGCATATGACATTCTGATGTATCATAAGTCCTTATTTTGGAATAAGTTATTTCATTGAGTCACTCAATTATTTCTAAAATCTTAATTCCTGTGATATAATGAACTCTGAGAAACAAGAGCTTCACTATCAAAACTTCAAGTTGTGTTTTTATGTTGAATTACAGTCAATAAAAAAATGGTACTTAATTTTCTCTGATATAAGATCCATGTTCTAGTCCTGGTCTGCTATTGATGAACTGTGTCAATCTTCCTATATTTTAGGAAGAAAAGAAGGAAGGAGAGGAGGATGGGGGGAGGGAAGAAGAAAAGAAAGTTGAACTACATTGTCTTTAAGGCCAATTCAAACTATCTTTACGGGTTCTTTTTATATTTAAAATTCCAAATATTCTATTTTTTTCCCTGGAAATGTTAGACAGAAAGATAGTAAGTGGTATAAGTAATGGCTTTGTCAGCAGGTGACTCCCTGCTTCTGTTCATTTGACTACCTTCAAAGAAGAAAAAGTATGGTCATTTATTTATTAATTCAATTTATTTATTTAGCATTCAATAAAAATTTTATTGTTCACTTTGTTTCAGTCCCTTTGGTAGGTTTAGGAATGCAATGATGAGGAAGACACTGGTGAAAATAAATTAACTCACTTGCTATGACTTCATTAGGAATTAGTGCACAACATTCTACTTGACAACCAGAAAGTTGTCTTTGATACATAGCTTGATGTTTTTACAATTTTGTTTTGGAACACACCTATTTTCCAAATAGATCATTGTCTTTTGTAGAAAAACAACTATACATCATGATTTAAATACAAACTTTGCTATTACTTTTGACTTGATAAATATGAACTATTGATTGTTTGAAATGCACCTGAGGAATGGAATTTGAAGTTCTGTTCCATTTTACTTGACTGATTTTAGTAGCCACATCTGCCTAGTGGCCACTGTATTTGGACAATACAGCATATCTAACCACTGAATGCATTCAAAATAACATATTTTACTTTACTTTTGTGAAATTTCAAAATTTTTTCTTGACTTATATTTCACTATGTAAGAAAATAACTTAGAAAACATCCTGTGCATAATTTTTATAGTAATTTTCACATTGCACTGTGTATACATTTACATATTTTTCTTCCCCCAGAAATATAAGTTCTTCAGTAACTATTATATCTTCTTCATTTATAGCTTTTGTGTCTAGCATAGTGACCCCTGATGGGCATCCTGTATAAATATGGAATGAACTAATGAATTAATCAAGTGAAGTCCTTGACAATAGATATCAGATAAGTTTAGCTCTCTAGTAACTACTCATATAATTCATCTTTTATTAATGGTACCATATTTTAATGGATCAAATAGTTCATAGTCATAATTTAAAATTTTCTTATAGAGATATACTTGAAATAAATGCAATTTTCTTAGTATGAAAATATGTGGAACAGGCTGAAAAATAACATTCTTGGTTTAGACATAATTTAGCTAAATATTCAGAAATTTTAAAAAGTAATCAACATTTTTGGTAATATAAAACCTTGAAAAAATTAAATTAAATTAATGTGATGTCATTTTCTTAGAGTGAAAAAGAAACATTAATTTAAATATTTATAATATGAGCAGTGGTTATTTTTCCATTTGAAATAGATATTTTTAAAGAGACATATTTTTTTATCTGTGTCTATTGCCCAGAATTTTTGGAACTTAATGGTATGTTTATGGCCATCATAACACC